AAGGGGATGTAGAAAAACTGTATATAGGAAAAGACATGTTCAGGAGCGAGTACACTGGAGATGGGAGATGGGAATAAAATTGTTTCTGGTTGAATTGTTGGCTTGAGGGTGGACCACTGAAAGACAGGTTTTGGAAGACTTACGCCACAACTCGATATAAAGACATTTATGTTAAAGAGGCATTTGGAAATGGTGAAGGAACTAGGGAATGGCATGTGGAGGTTATGCAGAACCTCAACAATTGGGAAATAAACGAATATGAGGTTCTGTTGAGTATATTGGAGTCGGTTTTGCTGAATGAGGATTATGACCAACCGGTTTGGACACTGAGCATTTCAGGGAAATTCACTGTTGGATCCTTCTACAGATACTTGGCTAAGAAAGAGTCCATTGAGATCAATTTTCCATACAAACAAATACGGAAAGCGAAGGCACCTCCCAGGGTAGCTTTCTTCACTTGGGAAGTAGGATGTGGGTGTATTTTGACCATTGCAAAGATAAAAATGAGAGGAAAGATTATGTTTAACTGGTGCTGCTTATAACAGAAGGCGGAGGAGACCTGTAACCATATTTTACTTTAGTGTCCCATTGTGCATGGCTTATAGTCTATGCCTTATGAGATTCTTGGTTTTAATTGGGTTATGACAGGCACCGTAGTGAATGAATTATGAGCATGGAAGAGATTGGCAAATCAGAAAAAACATTTGGAGGAGCTTATTTCCCTTGCAATCTTTTGGGTTGTGTGGAAAGAAAGAAATAGGAGAGTTTTTAAAGAAAAAGTTATTGATAAAATTCGAGAGAGATGATTCCAAATCCTTGGTATTTTGGTTATGAGTTAACCGTTGTATTCTACGGAGAATTTAGGCGAATTAATTGATGTCCTTACTGACCTATAAATTTTTGTACATGGATTTGCACTCCCTTAGTGTCTATACTTAGTGATACGTTTTATACTTGTTTTTTCAAAACCAAAAAATAATTATGAGAATGTACAAAACATTTTAAATATTTTAATAGTAATAAAATTTATTTGATTAAATTTGTTTTATTTGTAGAATTTTTTAAAAAATAATTTAATTTATGATATTACTATTATCATAACTATTACTAAAAACCTTCAAATTTTGTTTTCTCAGAAATTCCAAGATTTTTAAACTTTTTTTTTTTATTTAAAATTTTTCACTTTTAGATTTGTCCTGAACATAGCACAATTTTTAATCAAGTTTTGTTTATGAACGAACAGTTTAGAAAAAAAAAAAAAAACATTATAAGACAGCCAGATCTTGAAATCAACTAAAACAAATTCTACAAGTAAATGGATGGAGCTAACACCAAAATCAAATTGGGTATACACTAACAATTTTTTCTTTAAACATAAAACCAACATCTTGAGTGCCAACAGCTAAGATCTCTAGATTATAAAATTTAAATTAGGCATGACATGGCATCTGACCTGTTTCTGAGGACTTGATCCTGTTTCCACCTGATGTGATGCTGATACAAAAGTTGCATCAGCAAAAAGATCAACATCTACTGAATTGTTATTTACAACAGATGTTTCTGTGGGTCCAGATATTGGTGCATCCAAGAGATCCCCAATTAAACTTTGACCAAACAGATCCACTTGGTTAGAGCTTCCAGTTGCTGATTCTGATAAATTGGATAATGCTTAGTGTCAAGGAAATATATTTACTGTGCATACATATATATAGATACACAAAGATATACACGGCCATCAGAAATATTACAGAACAAGAGCCACTCAATAAGCAATATCAATCATAGAAATTATGGAAACAAATCTTCCTCAAATGCCAGCATAAACAAGAAGCCTATCAAGCACCTATTTGTCCCAGGTAGCAAAATGCATAGGAATGAAGAAGCATCTTTCCTTTTTTTTTTCCTTTTCTAT